CTCATTTACTGTGAAAGATATCAAAAAGTGGCTAACTAGTAAAATGTTGCTGATATCCTGATAAACATTTTACTAGTTAACCACTTGTTGATATCTTTCAAAAGAAATGAGATATATAGGCTCAAAGTGGACGATCCGGGTGTCGTTCTATTAGAGGTTTTACGGTAAATCCGTTTTGGATCAACGATACGCTATCTTAAAGGAGGGCAGACAGCAAAAATTTCGGGGAAAATTTCAGGGAATGTGTATTTTGCCGTCGCGGTGTTCGCACCTAAAGCACGCAATCCCACGCGCAAACATTTTTATTTTTTTATTTCCCGACTTTATTTTTTTCAATTTTTAACGACTTCAAACATTAAAAAAGCTCTTTTTTCTTATTGATTATAAAACCCATATAAAAGTGAATTTTTATGTAAATTTAAAGTTCTATCGACCGATTATTTTGCCAGTCGCCGGTGTTTTTTATAGGCATGCAAAAAAACTATTTTCTCTTCGATAACCGTTTCTTCACTGTTCCTATTTATCTCATTACTTCTCGTTATTACTCTAGGAATAAAAACTGTTTTATGACTGGGGTTTTCAGAGACGTCTTCATTTTTACTGCTTCCTTCACCTTCCGACGACCAGCCCTGCACGAGGATTGTTTTAATTATGTGGTTTTTTTTCAATTGTTATGTCTCTTTCTAAAAATTAATTGTAGTTTTTTTCATAATTTATTTGTTAACATAATAAAACAAGTTTCTTCATTTTCAACTGATTTTGGTACCTCGGAGCGAGGCCTCGGCGGCACGCTGGTAGCCCTTCAGAAATTCCGAGTTCAAAAAGTTCAATCCGAAGGAAACAAGGGAAGAAAAAAGTAAAAACACCAGCAGGGATTGAACCTCTGAACTAGCCCAGAGCGTACTCACTACACTACGCGTGTAAGAGGCGACCATCGCGTTTTTCACATTATGAAGCGACGCCGCAGCAGCAAGCTAGTGAAGAAATTAGGGTGACAAAAAAGAGCTTTTTTTCGTCCTTGAAGTGTTTTTTTCAGGTTTTTAAGTACATAGCTATATTTATACTTCAGAGTTATATCTTTTGAGTAAAAATGAAATTTTTGAAATTTTTGATGTCTACCCTCCTTTAACATTGCGAAATGTGTTTATTGATTCACAAAAAAATAACTTTATAATTTCACAATGGAATTTGTAATCGGAGACACTACAACTGACGACTTCTTTGCCTTGCAAAGAACAATTTCCAAAACTGCATCTCGATACGGTTTGTGAACAGTTAGCATAGTGATAGTTGAGGCTAATCTATGACACAATAGCCATATCATTGCAATATTGCTCATTGCCATATCCAAATATTCCAAAGCACCCGAAACTTGAACGTAAACACAAGGAAATACGAAAACAATTGTTGGAACTCCTGTTTGGTACAGAGACATTTAAAGAATGTCTTCTGGAGCTGATGAGTTTTGGTGGATTGTGCTTTGGTTTTGAAGATGAATACGAATGTTCTGAATATGAAATAATACATTTGTGAGCCACAAAAAATTAAATAGGTCGTGAGGCAAATGACTAGAACTAAAGGATTTGTATTAAGCATGAAGAATCCTGGATGCTCAACGATAGAAGATGGAAGACAGGGGGACTCTTCAACGAATTTTTTTTTTTGGCTCCCTTGTATTTGGCACTTTTTTTGAACATTTTTCATTAAATAATTCATTCAAAGTCTCAAAATCAAGAAAATATGCTATTGACCAAAACTGGAACTTGTCTAGTATTATTTGGTAAAACTTGCGGAGCTTGCGTACGAAACCTTTGAAATAATAGAAATTCTCTTGTCGCTTTTCTCAATAAATTATTTGTCACCAGCTTCGAAAAATCTGAACCAATGTTTGAAAATATGTATCTTTTTTTTCTTGTACCTGTCAATTTTCGTTGCTTAGCCAACGGTTCAACTGATCGGAGCGATTCATCACTTGTTTCCGGAATGGGTTCGCTGGCAGCTCTTTTACCAGTGCATCGATCCAAATGCCGAAAAACGTGACCACCGTCTGTTGCGGACAACAAAGTTTTGCATTGGGTACACAACGCTCTTCCTGAGGCACAGTATTCGTCACTCTCCACTGATTTGATCATAATCTGCTTGACTAATTCAGATTTGAACTCGTCTCCCTAGCAACATTAGTTGGTTTGGAACAATATTTCACGAAAAGCTCACCAAAACGGCTTCATCTCCATCACTTTCCAGGAGCTTCAGAAGCTTTCGATCGGCTTCCGTCTTCTTACGGTTCATTTCGGTTGTTCGGAAGAATAATGGCTATGAAGATGCGCTCGAGGCGTGGGACTTTTTTCGAGAATTCAAAACAATTTTTGTGTATGGAGGATGGGCCAATGGCGTGCGCTTTTCACAAAGTTTATCCAAGTTTTTTGAGGGAGAGACGATGTGCTCGAGGCGTGGAAGTTTCTACAATTATCAGTTTTAATTAATTTGATGACAAAATAGAGCAAACAATCGAGAAAACTGGAAGAAAATGCGAAAAACATTGAAAAAACACAATAAAATAAATAAAAAATGTTTTAAATACGATGCTCCGAAATTCCGCCTCGCGTTGTTTATCGCTTTGACAAAAATGGCGGCTGTTTAAATTCATTTTTCAAAAATTTTGTTTTTTTTCTGCCGGGCCGCCGGGCCGGGCCGGGCCCTGAAAATTTTCTCTCGGCCCGGCCCGGGCGGGCCGGGCCGGGCCGCCGGGCCGAACCGGGCCGGGCCGAAATTTCACAAGTATGAAAATAACAGAAATTGGATCTGGCAGTCTAATCGAAAAAAAGAAGAAAATACCAAGGGTTTCCAACGCGACAATTCGAGATCTCCCCTGATTAGATAAACCATCCAAAAATTCATGTCGTTTGGCTGGACTATTCTTTGGTACCCGCTGTATTTTCCAGACCTTGACCTTCTGGAAAAGTAATTGTTTGGGGCTCTTAAACGTCATCTTGATAGAAAAGACTTCAAGTGAAAAGATGGCACCAAAAAGGAGTTGACCCACTATTTCAATCACAGCTCTCCTCGTTCAAGGCCGATGTAACTAAGAAATTACTGGATTGTTGGCAGACAACTATTGATTCATATGGACATAATTTCCATTAATCTAACCCCCTCCGCTTTGAGAAAAATTTGATCAAAAATCTTACCAAAATCGAAAGAAACTTTTGCAATCAACCTAATAATAACAATTTTCCAGATTATACCCACATGTAGATCCATAAGAACACCTCTGAAAAAAACATGTTCTAGGCTTCGAGGAGTTGAACTCATGGGGAAAATGTTAGGATTGCTGAATCTGAGTTACGCAGTTGTAGCTGTCCCTATCAGAGATTAACGGGCATCATACATCTGACAGCCAAGAAAAACTGATCAATGGAGTCAGGACCCAGACAACGAACTAAATGTTTCAAAGTCAACGTGTATTTTCAAAGAAAATGGTACAGATGCAAATTAAAACAGTGATGGAAAAGAAAACATATTTAAGTGACTTGTCAATGTCATGCGGGAAATTTCTATATAATTTTTTCTGGGAAATGAACGGACAGAAAAATTTACAACGGAAAATGGACTGCTAGTGCATCTCTGCTCCAGATCGGTACTGTCTTATGTACTTTATCGAAAAATGGCTGGTTAGGTAGCTTCTGAGCCCATTGGTCTATTTTTTAAATTACAATATCAGACTTTGGCTCGCTATGCAGCCGTTTCAGGCAAGTTACGAACGCGTAGCACAGACAGTAGTGTTCGCCCCAAATTTCAATTGGAAACTGCAAAACTTACGAAATGATATGGATAGGAATAGAGATGAATAAACATATCCAATAGAATACGGTTACTACGAATTCCTCTTCAATTTGACAAGTGGCGTTTAGCATAATAATGATGATTGAAAAGAAATAATAGGGTTTATAAAACATTTCCACAGGTGAAATATATCGGAGCATAAATCATATACATTTCTGATTGTCTCCAATAGAAAATTTTACAGCTGAAAAGACAGAAAATCTTCCTTATATATAAAACGTCTGTTGGTCCTAGTGTCCGGCTGTCCGGTTTTGGGTTTCAAATAAGAATTAGGCCGCCGCCAAACCAGCGGCTCTTCGCACAAGAGCTGCGCATGCACCCAGTTGCGCCATGAAGGCAACACCAGGAGAGAGAAGGGAGGGAGTACATGTTCTACCCTTTAAAGGTGGGGGGACAGGAGATTTTCCGTAGTTTTTTTGTAGCTAGAGTATGCATTCTACCGTCACGGTGTACAACGCTTAATGTCACTCTGCGTACAGCTGTCGTCCTCGCCTTTATGTATGCAATCGGGCGTGCGCTTTCTCTTTGCCCGCGTGGCTCAGTCGGTAGCGGTGCTGCACCCTCCATCATCGCTCTCACAAGTTCAACTCCTCGAGGGGCACCTTTGAACGAAATTTCGAGAACATTATTTTTTTCATGTCCCCCCACCTTTAAGAAAGAGAAAGCTAAAAGTGAAGGGTGTAGCGACGAACCAGTAGAAAATATTGAATTGCGCCGAAGGCGCAGCAGCCAGCAGGGTGGTTTTTAATAACTTTCAAAGTGATTTTTTATTCCAAAAATGTTTTTTCTCAAAAAACAAAAATTCTCTTTTTAGGTGCTCCTTTAAGATTTGAATCAATATAATCCATCAAAACAATAATCATAAACCAATTAAGTGCACAACTGAAATGAGCAATATCGTTCCAATCGATGCCAGGAAGAATGCAATTTTGGTTGAGCACACGAGATTTTGCAGGGCTTAGCTGGAAAACAAACGCACTTGGAAGCAATTTATCTCGGCTCTTTTGAAAGAAATCTAGAAGTGGTCAATTGATAAAAAATTCATTATCACATAAATAATATTTTGTTAGTTGACCACTTTCTCATACCTTCAACAGGAAACGAGATATACGAGCTCAACTTACCTGTACAGAATAGGTCCTCAACTGATGATAAAAAATGTCGTGTATGAAAGTTTCAGAAATCAAAAAAATCGCCGTCGTTCCGTAGCAAATAATTTTGAAGCTCATTGTAAATGAGCTCCGTTCAAATCGAATTTTCTGAATCAAATAGTAGCAAAAATAGATGCCAACTTGTCCTTTTGCCCAGTCGAACGACGAATAGATTACGGTATTTTTAGGGTTTAGCAGAGCAGTGACAGGGCTGGAAATCTCTTTTTCAAGCTAACAAGGTCTTCAAAAACTCACATATAAACCGAAAACCCCATTGCTAGAACCATGTAACAAATTTTGGATTTCAAAGGCCTGTACACTCCATTGGCATCGCATAGGGTTGGCCCGGTAGAGAATAGAGATGGGATCCATTGACTTACTTGAAGACCTGAGGGTCTCTGTAGAGATTTGAAATTTTGGAGAAAATAACCTTTGCCAATACTAACCTCAAAATAGTACTTGTAGCAGAAAAAACCAGTAGAACTTATTGTGACCAACAGAAAGATGATTTTGAGGGGTGTTGTAGAAGATTCGGTAGATTCGAAGATCTGAAAATTTGGGAAATTGTTGAATTGCATTTTGTTTTGTAGGACTATTTGAAAGCTACATTTCAATTTTTAGATTTAAAAAAAAATCTTTAGTTTGAAAGAAATTATGGGCTAACGCCTGTGGTGACCCATATCGTCCGGGTTTCTATCGTACCGTCCAGTTTCAACGGCTTCGTCACCTAACCCTCCCAGCTTTAACGGCTCGCCTTCAAAGAGATAAGATTTCCAAATTTATTATAGTTTTCATAGATTTGTAGAACTTTTAAAGATCTATAAACTCCTTTTTGGATTTTTCAAAAAATGTTAAATTTGAACGAAGTTATAAGTTAACGCCTGGGGTGACCCATGCCTGCGCGATGGCAACATCATTCTATCGTCCCGCTAAGTTTCAACGACTCCCCTTCAAAGGGTGATGTTTCCCAGCTAAATAAGTTTCATATCATTTCGTAGAGCTTTTCAAAACCTATACCTCACTTTTTAAACTTCCCAAAAATCTGGTGTTTGAAAGAAGTTATAAGCTAGCGCCTGTGGTGATCCATGCCTACGGGATGTCATCGCCTGTCTACCGTCCTGTCTAGTTTCAACGAATCCCTTTCAAACAGTTACATTTCTAATCTAATCAATTTTTATATCAGTTTGTACAGCTTTTCAAGATCTACACCTCACTTTTTGAATTTTCCAAACCTACATTTTCAGCAAATGCCAAACATCCAAAAATCGATGAAACAGCGATGATGTAGAATTGATGCCATCTTCGAACGCCGTGACGTTTTGAATAGATCCACATAATCGCTGAATGAAAAATCCAGAGACATGTGTAAATGACTAAAATCCCAAATTTTTGTTTGAAAAAGAGTTGTCTAGAACTCACAAATATGCAAAGTGGACTTGTTCGGACAGTTATTCGTTATTATCCCTAGAATTCCCATTGCCACGCAGCCCAGCAAGCAAACGACTTTCGGAGCATCCCTTTGTTGGATTCCATGTGTTGTTGGAATTCGCGGAACTTGATAACAGAATATTTTCTTTCGAAAAACAATTATCAAATTCAGAATTCCGACGATAGCAAGGCTGCTGGCACTGGCAACAGAGTTGAGGGAATTGAAATTGAAAATCTGAAGAGAGCAGAGATAGTTTAGGTAGCATTTGTCCAGATTTTGTTTGTTGGAAGTTTTCTGATAGTTTTGGAATAGGGTGGTGAGAGCAGGGAGGATGGAGCCGAAGATTTGGAAGAAGAGGAAGCTGGAAATTTGTATATTTTTTTTTAGAACTGTGTCGCTTCGGAACCGCAACGTTTCAAAGACGTTTTAGAAACGCGACGTTATAGAACCACGACGTTCTAAGACTGTGATGTTTCAGAACTGCGACGCTTTAGAACCGGGACGTTTTAAAACATAGGTTTTTAAAAACCCGCGACATTTGAGAATCACGACGTATCAAAACCGCAACGTTTTAGAACCGTGACGGTTCAGGATCGCGACGTTTCAGAACCGTGACGTTTTAGAACCTTGAAGTTATAAAAACGCGACATTTCATAACCTCGACGTTTTAGAACTGTGTCGTTTCAGAATTGCGGCGTTTTAGAACCTCGACGTTTCAGAACAATGATGTTTTAGATTCGCGACGTTTCAGAATAGCGATATTTCCGAATTATGACGTTTTAGAACCGCGAAATTTGAGAACAGTGACATTTTAGAGCCGTGACGTTTCAGTATCGCGAAATTTCAGAATCACTACGTTTTAGAACTTTTAAATTTTAGAACTGTGATGTTTCAGAACCACGACATTTCAAAACCGTGACGTTTCAGAACCATGAAATTTTATAACCGCGACATTTTTGAACAGTGACGTTTCAGAACCGTGACTTTTTAGAATCGCAACATTCTAGAACCGCGATATTTTAAAAACGCGACCTTTCAGAACCGCGACGTTTCAGAACAGAAACGTTCACGAACCACCAGGCTTCAAAACCAAGATGTTTCGGAACCGCGACGTTTCAAAACCGTGACCTTTCAGAACCATGTCTTTTCAGAACCAAGACTTTCTAAAACCGCGGTTTTACGAAACCATGACTTTCTAGAACCACGTGTTTTACAGAACCATGACCGGGACGTTTCAAAACAGTGAAGTTTTAGAATCTCGACGTTTTAGAACAGTAACGATTCAGAACGGCAACACGTTACAACTGTGACGTTTTAGAACTGAGACGATTCAGAACCGCGACGTTTTGGAAAAAAAACAAGGCTGTGCCACGGCCGGCCGCGGCTTCAAAAAAAAAATATTCGAAGAAGCCGCGGCCGGCCGGCCCAAGCTAGCCGTGCGGCTTTTCACGGCCTTTTGAAATAATTGTTTCATGAGAAACGTAGATTTTTTTTTGAAGTAGGACAAAAAAAACGAAATTATTCAAAAACTAATAGATTTTCACTTCACGCGTTTTCATGAGGCTATCCGCGGCCGGCCTTGGCTAGCCGCGGCTTTTCACGGCTTTCACAAAAAAGCCGCGGCCGGCCTCGGCCTCAAAAATCAAGCCGCCTTTTTGCACAGCCTTGAAAAAAACTCACTTAAAATATTTGGAATCCTTGATCAATCGCTGTTTTTGATATTCATGATGACTAACTATTTTTTCTCCGGGGTTCTCAAAAAGCCATTGCTTATCCAGCTTCACGTTTCCCTCCAGATCATTTCCTTCAAAAATACTTGGCTCATTGTTTTCATGACGATCCAAAAGGCGATACTTGAAATATGCTGGAAATTTTGGAGTTGTATTTTTTATATATTTTTTGGATCTCACTCAATAAAAGCACAAAAATTATACTGGCTGCATAAATGAATAGCGGGATGACAGATACCAAAGTTTTCTCTGAAAAGTTTGAGCTCAATTATCTCAATTCCTGTGAGAGATATCAAAAATGGGTTAACTGATAAAATGTTTATCAGATTATCACCAAAATTTTATTAATTTACAAAGTTTTGATATCTCTCACAGGAACAAAGATAAGTGAGCTTTAATACCTTCAACAGGTGTCACCGAAATTTTCGCTTCCTTCACTCTATGATAAACATCTGGAATTTTCCATAAAGGTTCTGAAAATCAAATTTTTAAAAAATTCATTTTTACTACCTAAAAACCTGTAAAATTCCCACAAAGCGTGTCATCTGGCATCACAGTAAACGCGATATGAAATTGGTCTCCAATGTCTTCTTTCTGGAAAATTCCAAAGTTTTGAAAGATCAAAAAATCCCTTTTAGAATTCTTACTCGAATTGAAAATCCAGCAAATTTTGTGAAAGTTTGAAAATAGTAGTCATTGCTCAGCTCTAACATTCCGAAACCATCGAATAGGGGACACTGAAAATTACTACTGTAAGCTCTCTGAAGCCATTAAAACAGCCAGCTTTGAGCCCTTATATCTAATTTTCTGCACAAGGTATCAAAAAGTGCTTAACTAACAAAATATTCATTATAATATTAGCTACATTTTATTAGTCGATTACGTTTTGATATCTTTTATATGAACCGAGATAAAATAGGTTAACGTAAGGGGAGTCGCCGGCAGGATGCCGACAGAGTATCTCGGACGCCAGCTGCCGACCTTCTAACTTTGACTCAATTTATCTAAGCTACTGTAAGAGTTATCGAAAAGCTGTCAACTGGTAAACTATTTATCATAATATCAAAAACATTTTATCAGCTGACCACTTTTTAATATCTTTTATTGGAACCGGCTCAAACTTTAAAAGTTTTTTCCCCAAAAGTTACATCAACTCGCCGAACAGTCAATCTTGCACAAATCTCCGTTTCCGAGTAGGCTCTGATGTCCACTTTATCCACAGCATTAGGAAATGTGTACCTAAACATTTTAAGCTGAGCAATCTCAAGGAAAAGGAACTCACATAAAATATCGAGGTTCCGAAGGAGTGTCCAAAGTAGAGAATGGTTCTTGATAATGGAAATTGGGAACTGGCTTCACTAGAATTTGAAAATCACTTGGAAGAGAACTGGCAACGGATAGATAGACTGGTTGACCAAGTTGTTCCATAGATCGATCATCATCACAAAGTGTGTCACTTGCAAACCAATATGTATGCTTTTGGCCTTGATGGGATTGGATACGGGGGAGCTGGAAAAATAAGTTTCTTGAAACTTTGTTCCTTGAGGAGTTGAACTTGTGGGCACACTGTTGGAGGTACCGCGCTACCTGCTGAGCTACGGTGGCGTTTAACTCGCTTGTCAACTTTGAACCCATATATCTCGTTTCCTGAGACAGATATCACATAGTAGTCAACTAACGAAATGCTTATCAAAATATCAGCTACATTTTATTAGTTGATTATTTTTTGATATCTCTCAAAGTAACCGAGATAATCGAGCTGAAAGAGGAGCAAACTTCCCGTCTACTTTTTACCACTTTATACACTTTGAGCTCAATTGTCTCGGTCCTTGTAAGAGATATCAAAGTGTAGTCAACTCACAAAATGTTTATCATAATATCAGCTAAATTTTATCAGTTGAAAATTTTTAGACATCTCTGACAGAAAACTGGATAAATAGGGTCGAAAGTAAGATCTTTTTAAAGCCAAAAATTCGGGGGGTACAAGGGGGAACAAGGGGGTACAACTGATTTAGGGGTACAAAATTGGTGATTCGGGGGTACAAAATTCGTGGGTACAAAAATTCGGGGGTACAATCTACCAATGATTCTGGGGTACAACTTATTTCATGTAGGGGTACAACGTTTGTGATTCGGGGGTACAATTTTTTTTGACGAAGTTTCTGAATTCCTGAATTTCAGAGCTTGAAAATCTCTGAATTTTTAGAATTTCAGAACTTTGGAATTTCATTATTTCGGTATCTGAGAATTTCGGAACTTCAGAATCTAAGAATTTCCAAATTTAAGAATCTCAGAATTTCAGAACTTCAAAATCTCAGAATTTCAGAACTTTGGAACTTCAGTATATCGGTATCTGAGAATTTCGAACGACAGGAATTTTTCACTTCTCATTGTCACATTGTTCTTTTTGACAATAAGCTAAACTTGACAAATTTTACACTCAGTTTTTTAATGCTTAATTTAAGTTCAAAACCCAGCCGATACTTTTCTCAATGCCATTTTTTCTCAATTCCTTATTTTTTTAATTCTATTTCAATTCCCTTTGTTTCTCAATATTCCTTCGTCTTTTTCCCAATTTTTCTCAATTTTCGCGGTAATTTAATTTTTTCTCCTTTTTAAACAATTTTCTATATCTGATTGAAGGAAACTATCACAATTTAGAAGTTTCCCACAAAATTCGAAAATTCCAGAAATTGGCCCAAAATGAGCTATTTTCTATCGAAAATTGTTCGAACAGACAATAAAACATTACAAACATTATAAAATTAATTTTTTTCAACCAATTACCACGAAAATTTGAGCAAAAATGATGAAAAACGAAGGAAAACGGAGAAAAACCCAAAAATAAAATTTGCGAGCGATGACGTCATCAGTCCATGGCCGTGGCCGAGCTGCGGGGTTTTCTCTTCCATGGGAAAATTTCGCGAAATTGAGATCTTTTCGCAATTCCCATTTTTCTCCGTTTTCCTTCGTTTTTCATCATTTTTGCTCAAATTTTTGTGGTAATATATCGAAAAAATCAATTTTATAGTTTCTGTGATGTTTTATTGCCTATTCGAACGATTTTCGAAAGAAAATAGCTCATTTTGGGCTAATTTTTGGGATTTTCGAATTTTGTGGGAAATATCTAAATTGTGATTGTTTCCTTCAATCAATGATCTAGAAAATCATTTAAAAATGAAAAAAATTTAAATTACCTCGAAAATTGAGGAAAATTAAGAAAAATTGGGAAAAAAACGAAGGAATATTGAGAAACAAAAGGAAATGAAAAAGAATTAAGAAATAAAATTGAGAAAAATTGGAAGTGAGGAAAGTATCGACTGGCATTAAAATCCGTTTGTAAAATTTGTTAAAATCATTTCACAGTTCTCCATTGTCTTTCTTGAAATAGTGAGATTCTGAAGTCCTGAAGTTTTGAAGTTCCGAAGTTCTGAGATTGCGAATTCTGGAATTCCAAAGTTCTGAAATTCTAAGAATTCTGAAGTTCTGAAATTCTGAGATTTTGAAGTTCTGAAATTCTGAGATTTCGAAGTTCTGAAATTCGGAAATTCTCAGATTCTCAGATTCTGAAGTTCCGAAATTTTCAGATTCTCAGACTCTGAAGTTCCGAAATTCTCAGAATCCGAATTCTGAGATTTTCAAGCTCTGAAATTCAGGAATTCAGAAACTTCGTCAAAAAAATTGTACCCCCGAATCACAAACGTTGTACCCCTAAATGAAATAAGTTGTACCACAGAATCATTGGTAGATTGTACCCCCGAATCGTTGTACCCCCGAATTTTAGTACCCACGAATTTTGTACCCCCGAATCACCAATTTTGTACCCCTAAATCAGTTGTACCCCCTTGTACCCCCCGAATTTTTGTCTCTTTTTAAGGAGTTACATAAGATTTCAAAATTTGAAAATTCAAGGGTTATTTAAACGTGATTAAAAACATTTATTAATGGGCAAAAAAGTCTTGAAAAAAAAAATTTAGACAGAAAAAGCTACGTAGAAACCCACGATGACCCATTGACCTCAGGGAAATTACTATAAAGGAAGATAGAAATGGAAGGAAGAATCAGTTCTCCTTTTTCTCCGGGATGGGATCCGGAGAAGGAGGGGGAGGAGCCAGGAGCTCCAGCTAGGGGCCAGTAGCTTTAGCTGGACTTGAGCTGGGCCCTGGGTCCTGGGTCCAAGGTCATGACCTAGATTTCGATTTCTGGGTCATGATCTAGATTTTATTTAAAAACTGAAATCTAGGTCATTACCTAAAAAATAAAGACTAGGCCATGACCTAAAAATTGAAATCTAGGTCATGACCTAGATTGTATTTTTATGTCATCGCCTAGATGTCATCCTATAGGTCATGACCTAAAAAAGATCCTGGACCCAGGCCTGGCTCCCAGCCCTTGGCACCCAGGAACTCCTGGCTCCTCCTAATCCTTCTGGCCTCAGAGAAGAGGAGAACTGATTATTTCCTCTGATTCTCTCTTCCTTTATGGTAGTCTCCCCGAGGTCAAAGAGTTTCTACGTAGCTTTTTGGATAAATTTTTTTTTCCAAAAATTTTTTGCCGACAAATAAATTTTTTCACCACATTTAAACAACCCTTGAATTCTCAAGTTTTGAACTATGTGATTCCTTGAAAATATCTTTATTTTGACTACATTTTTGCAGGTTGCTTTAAGAGATATCAAAAAAATTTTAACTGATAAAATGTAACTGATATTATGATGAACGTTTTGTTAGTTGACCACTTTTTGATATCTTTCAAAAGAAGTGAGATAATTGAGCTCAAAGTGGACAAAGCGGTAAAAAGGATAGAGCTTACTATTAGCTGGTAGCGGTGCGGCACCTCAAAAAGTGGGCGCCCAAGTTAAACTCCTTGGGAGATGTTTTAGAACTACATTGGTTTATTGAACGATATAGAATGATACAATAGAGGGGCTTTTATACTGGTTACATGATAAAGAATTTAATAAAAGAAAGTGATTGCGGGGGATGCAATGCACATTCCCCGGTGAATCACCATCAGAATAGTGCGATTTAGCACAGGAGACCTATGTTAACCAAATGTCAAGTTTTTTTCTTTTTTCATGTCCCTGCTCTTTTAATAAACTTTTGAGGGGTACTGTAACTACACTTACCGCAATATTATGAACTGTTTTCCCTCGAATCACATTCAATGTCAACGGATTTCGTAAAGTCACATTTTCAGAAGTGACCGATACTCGAATGGCAAATGGCTAAAAATTTCAGAATTTCAAAAATTCCGATTCACGAAGCGTCCCCCCACCGGATTTTCTGTATCCAGGACCACTCGAAACAGAGTTGGCGCCAAATTTCCTTTTGTACTCCAATTTGAATAACTTGCGAGAAATGGTAAATCTTGGAAATCTTCACAAGGAAAAGTTGGAAAATGGAGGAGAAGGAGAAGAAAAATCAACATTTGATGGGAGAAGTTTCTGAAAATACGAATAACAAATTTGGCGACTTTTATACTCGCGTGCTTAGGGTGAACAATATTTGCATAGGGGTTTTTAGGATGAGCAAGAGAGCCTTACTGTATTTGCTCTAGGAGGAGGCTACCCTAAAATTCAATTTTGAGCTCAATTATCTCGGTTCCTGTGAGAGATGCCAAAAATCTGTCAACTGACAATCTATTGCTAATTCTAGGATAAATATTTTATCAGCCACAAATTTCTTGATATCTATTACAGTAACTGAGATAATTGAGCTCAAAATTCATGTATGGGCGAGTCTTGGAAAAGGTTGAAAACCTGTGAAAAATGTAAACTCCAAAAATGTTTTCAAAATTATCTTTTTAAAACTTCAAAAAGTCTTTAGATCTGTTTTAATGTTCCATTACAGAAGATTGTTGAAAAAAATCTAAAAGTTGAAAAAATAATAAAAAATTAAATTAAAATTTGTAATGCAAAGTTTCCTTTTTTTATTATAAAACAGTAACACTACAAATCATTTTTCGGCCTAAACAAATATTGAATTTTGAAAAATAACAAACGATAAGAAAGTATGCAAAAAATAACCCAATGTTTGCTTTCACTATTGGCGTTCAAAAATTGAAATGCGATGAAAATAATGTATTTCTGGAAACTTCTAGAAATTTTTCGAAATTTTATTAATCCTATTTTCCCACAGGCTAACTTCTAGAACATATACTCTTCAGCTAATCTTAGTGTCTTTACATACCTCGTCAGATGTTCAAAGTACCAAGTCTTCACGTTTCAGGATTTATGACCATCTGAACCTTCGAGACAGGCCCCGCCCCTTTTGGATGTGATGCTCACAAATAAAATAATTCTTTAAATTCAAACGACGTTGCCTGATCCTGAGCTTTTCAAAAAATGAAAATTCATTTTTCCAAAGCATGGTGACCTAACTTCCACAAGTTAAGTTTTCTAGGCCACTGACTTTGATGACCTAGAAATGCTATTCACCTGGTGTGCTTTTAGGTAATATTCCATGGTGACCAAAAACTTATGCGAATTAAGTTTTCTAGGCCACCGACTTTTGTGGCCTAGAATGCCCTGATATTCCCCAGGTATGTTTTTAAGCTATTTACCTTGGCGGTCTAGAAAACTCAACTTTCGAAAGTTAGGCCACTATGCTGAAATAGCCTACAAAACCCACCAGAATAATATCAGGTCAAATCGAGGCATTAAAGTCGGTGGCCTAGAAAACTCCACTTGCAAAAGTTTGGTCACCAAGGAATATTACCTAGCACACCAGGTGAATAGCATGTCATTTCTGGGTCATAAAATTCAGTGGCCTAGAAACCTGAAAATGCGAAAGTTAGGCCATCATGTTATAACGATCTAGCAAAGCTATCAACTCTAGTTCATAAAAGCCGGTTGCCTGGAAAACCCAACTCGCAAAAGTTAGGATATCCACTGGATGGGATACTATAGGAACCTCAAATTCTTGTAGGGGTTTTTTTCAATGTCCTCTCCAAAGGATCAAAACCGAGCAGGCCAATCATGTTTTCTGGAAATTTAATAATCAGGCTTTTTCAAAAATTTCACCTGCTTCAATTTATATTTCTTGTCAACCTCAAGAGCATTATTACTTCAAACTTCCTCTTGTTATGCTAAACTCAACATGTCGATTCGAAGATCCATTCCACGTAACCGTCACCCATTACCTATGCGCTCTATTCTCAATTCCAATCTATGGAATATCGTATACAATTCTGCTTTTCAAATGTCCCCCACATTTCTACAAGTACCGTAATCTTCTAGTCATTCACATCACTTCTGGCGTACTTTTAGAAGCTCATATGGGCCTTTGGCGAGCCAAAGTCACATTTCCATGGGGCGCACTTTGTGCAAACGGACTGCTGGCCGAGTATTCCCCGAACCTCTTTCAGCTCTGGAATTTTCTATTTCAATTTACTGCGTTTTCTACAGTAACCCTTTTTGTGCATCGAATGGAAATTGTGAATATTGGAATAACTAAATGTCAAAAAGTGGTGTATTTTTTGAGATATGCATTTTATTTGAATCTCCCGCTCCTTTTTGTATTCAACATATTTACATATCAAGATCTGAGCAATCAAAACGGGTATAAAATGAAAATGGAGGAGGCTAGAAACTCGAAAATTCCCGATTTTATGTGGTGTTCCAATTGCTTTTTCATGATTTTCGACTCTTGGATTTTTATAATTTACTATTGCTTAGCCTATGCAGCTGTATTATGTGCATTTCTAACTGGTGGCTTGGCTGCATTTGTCACAATTCGATCGCTCAATTCTATCAATATTCACTTATCAGAACGATCTGTTCGAATTCAGAAAAACTTTTTGTATAGCTTGGTGGTGGCGGTGGGTTTTAAGACTTTTTTAAAAAAGAATTTCGGAATTTAAAAATAGGAAAAAGCTAGTGTTGTTTACCCACACTTTTCTTTTTTTAAAGGTGGGGGGACATGAAAAAAATAATGTTCTCGAAATTTCGTTTAAATATGCCCCTCGAGGAGTTGAACGTGTGGGACGAGGATTGAGGGTGCGGCGCCGCTACCGACTGAGCTACACGGGCAAAGAGAAAGCGGTCGCCCGATTGCATACATAAAGGCGAGGACGACAGCTGTACGCAGAGTGACATTAAGCGTTGTAAACCGTCACGGTAGAATGCATACTCTGGCCCCAAAAATCCCCCGTAAAATCTCCTGTCCCCCCACCTTTAAAGGTTGGGGGACAGGGGATCCTCTAGAG